TATAATATATACAATATATAATATATATACTATATAGTGTATATAAACATGTATATAGTGTATATATATATATATATTCACATACAATGAAAGCACCTACAGGAATACAAAGCTCTAGCTATCTTTTCACATTTTTATTAGATATCTTCATCTTCATATGCACATTTTTGCACACTTATGCTATTATACTTTAAGAATAAATTATAAGCTCCTTACATTCAGGGTTAAAGAGCTGGCATGGTTGTAGGAATTGTAAGGCAGGCTGCCTACCTGCCTTTACATGTCCCATTTCCTCCTTGAAATTCCATATTTTTTTAAAGATCATCCTTCTACCGCTCCCACCACTTAGCACATGGTTTTAATTGAGGTGAATTTGTGTTTTCAGAATATAGTAGCAACTACCCATTTTCCCCCAAAGTTTTAGACCCGAAACAATGGTATTCCTTATTATCCAAACAAACTTCAAACAAAATCCAGCTGCAGAGGTTAGTTTGAGAGCTTAGCATCTTCCCTTTGTATCTGCTAAGAACTATACCAAAAAGTAAAAAGAGGAATTTTAATTGTAGCACTGGCTATTTGGAAGAGTTTGAATTATTCTCTTGTTTGGTTGAATTATAACAAAGTAAAACAAAATATGAGGCATACTTTTAGCAAAAAGTTATAGTAAGGGTATCCATCACCATATTGATATTTAAGTAAAAGAGAGAACAATACCTATTTTTCATCAAGCATTACTGAAATGATTTTCAATACTGCATGTGATGCTCACAACACCACTAGTATGCTTGCTTTTAAACCCTCATTCCGACCATAAGCAAAACTTAGCATAGAAGCTTTAAATGACTTGTCAGAGGTCACCGAGCCTAGAAGTGTCGTAACAAGGACACAAAAAAAGGCAGCTTGAAATCACTGTCCACACAACTAACCAACTTGAATTCAAGAGCATCATTTTAATTTTTTTAGAAAGAATCCTAAGTACCCCCTTTAAATACATAGAACAGAGAGGGAAATATTATCAATAATAAAATTATTAATGCTTATAAGATACTGTTTGTAATTTTCCTAATTCTTCCAGAATTGCTTTTATGGACATTATTTATTTAAAAACTATTACTCATATCAATTTTACATATGAGAAGATGGCCACAGGGAAGGTAAATAACTTTTCAAGATCTCTCAGTCAGTACGAGGTAGACCTGGTAGCCTAGCCTAGATCCACAGGCTGAACTGCTGAGCTAAACAGCTTACTACTGATATTCATTTCAAATTATAATTATACACTTTCTATAAACAAAATGATATGTAAAAACAAGGTTTAAATATACACAATTAGTCTGCTACCTCTGCAGCCTACAAACAATACCAAATTTGATGTTGTAGAGTAACAAGAGAAATAACAAATGATGAAGGGCTGTTACGAACTGAAATTCACACTTCCAAATTCATACTGAATCCCTAAGCCCCACTGTGACTGCTTTGGAGATTGAGTCTTTAAGAAGGCAATTAAGCTTTAATGAGAGTGAAAGTTTGGGCCTCTAATCCAATATGACTGCTCTTGTTACAAGAAGAGGGAGAGAGAGTAGGGTTGTACAGGCACAGAAGAAAATGGCCACACAGGGAGAAGGCAGCCATTT